CGTTTATTCGAGATATTCTATCTTCTTTCTTTCTTTTTTCTTCTGCGACATGCTCGCACGCTTTATATACGCGAGATATACGATATTATACCTAGTACCTACCTGTTCCATTGTCGTAAATTAGTGACGCTAGTTCGATCTACGTAAAGCTTGGTTGCTCATTAATAACATGGATTCATTAATAAAATGGAACAGCGTTCTCTTTGCGTGGATATCATTCTTATTTTTTATTCTGACTCCTAAATCTGGTGTATTTTCTTTCTTTCTTTCTTTCTTTCTTCTTTTCTTATTTTTTTATTTTCTTATTTTTTTTTTTCTTTACAATTCTATGCGCAAAAGTTTCTCTACATGCTGCTGAGGGTAAACGAACGCGATAAATTTTCGTCAGTGTCGAAAGAGATTCTATTCTTGTCTTATTACTTTTTCACGATAATTTAGTTTTTCAGGCCTAACTGTTTTCTCATGGAATTTTATTAATCTCAGTTTTCCCCCTGTGGAAGAATCGAAGTAAACACGCATACATCGCTTCGTTTGTACCTGACGAACGATCGTCGTGACGATCGAAGTACTGCGTGGACTTCGAACAAGCTGGTAAAAAGCGGGGCTGTTAATAATACCGCAGTATTTACCTATCCCTTAGTCATTCCTAATCGAAAATATATACATATATATGCGGTAATACGTAATTTCGTTTAGTATAAATTTCAATCTCTTAATCCATATATTTCGAGTAAAACAAACGTGATTCCCACGATTTGTAAATATTTCTCAATTTTTAAATAATTTATATATATATATATATTTTTTTTTTTCTTTCTTTTCGTTCTTCACTGTAATGTGTGATCAAGGTATAGTTTGCTATTCGATGGTGCACTTTTGTAGATCATCCCAGCTATGTATGAAGGTATATATCGATTGATCGAACGAACGAGTTTAGTTAGACGCGATATATTACGTATCACCCATCTTCATTCTTGCGGTGTGCTACGTATGTGTTACATATAGCGCTTATACGTGTGATATAGTACAGGAAACGGGAGGGGGAGGGACTTGATTGAATTTTATAAAAGCGATATGAAGTATGTTGAAGATATATAGTTGCCTATATATTGTATGTTATACGAGATTCGAAGTTTATCGAGCGTTACATACAACTCACAAAGTTAATTCTGCTTTTTATTGTCGTACATTGCGGTTGCTTTCGAATCATTTCCCAAAAAAAAAAAAAAGAAATAAAATCGAACATAGATTTACGGAAATGGAAAAGATCGAAATCGGTTCAAGCAGAGAAATAATATTGTAGCATGCATGCTACAAAACGTGCTAGCCTATTTATTGTACTATAAGGATTATTCACTGAGGGATAGTATTTCGACGGTATCGAACAACGCTATGAAATATTCCTGCTTGGTCGGCCGAGCGAAGATGCATTATTCAATAGTAAATCGCGGATCGAAATCGCATTCGACAAACTATCCGCTTATATTCAATCGTATCGGATGACAAGGGAAGGGGCAACGGGTGAGCTACCCTTTTTTTATTTTTTTTTTATTTTTTTTTTTTTTTTTATTTTTTATCCTTTTTATCCGATATATCTCGCGGAATATCTGATACAAATTTCATTCTTACGCGATAAGAAAATGGTATGACAAATAACAAATAAAGATTATAATGATGATGAGGATGATAATGATGTTGATAATGATGATGATGATGATGATAATAATGATAATAATAATAATAATGCATAAGCGAATGAAAAGCACCAGATGAAGCATTATACTCTATAAGGGCATTAATTTAAATGCCAACGCGCAAGTCGTACGTACATACGTATATACGTAGATTTCTAGTTTCGACGACTTCGGCCGAACATCTTTCGTATCTCTTAGACGTCTCTCTACGACTGTGTGTGTGCATTACGAGAGAGAACAGCAACCGCAACGGCAGCAACAACGGCGGCGTTATTACGACAGCATATTGTACGAAGACATAATAAAGCGTAAACTGCTGGAACATCACGACTCGTCACACGAAGCTTCTATATAAACGTGATCCCTTTCTTTATCTTTGTCTTTCTCTCTTTCTATCACTCACTTTGTATTTCTATGTCTATCCGTCTATCTGTCTCTCCATGTCTGTCTATCTCTTTCTCTCTCTCTCTCTCTCTCTCTCTTTCTCTCTCTCTCTCTCTCTCTCTCTCTCTCTCTCTGTCTCTCTCTTTCTTTCTTTCTCTCTCTGTTTGCAATAAACAAATAAAATCAATGACCGATGCGCATTTCGATCGATCCCATTTTATCGTACACATACGCATACATACATATGCATATATACAATGTATAAATACCGTAACCGCACTACTAGCATGCAATACATTCTATCTTCATAATAAATATTCTCCGTTTAAACGTACTTATCGCAAAATAAAATTTCTATCATCTATGTTATATACCGTTTTGATCGTCTAATTGAATAATTACGACATTGAAATTTTTTACAA